ATGACTGCCTCTGTGCAGGTTTCGTTTGCGCACGAAGTTGCCTCCCAATCACCAACTCCCGTGGTTTCATTTATCGGATACCAATTGACTTCCCGCTCTGTGGTCTCCGCGTTACTTTGTCCCACCAATTGATCGTCCTTCATCTCGGCCGCCACATGATGGCTTCTTCTAACACTTCCACGTCTTTTGTGGCAGTGTGGGGTCATTACATGTCCTATCCATGTACACTGCATTTGAGTAAGGTCGTAACTGAGTTGAAGGTTTAGGGGTCTCTCCTCTGCTTCTCAGTCAGACGGGGTTGGAATGACATTTTTCTACGAAACTACAGCCGTAACGTTGGATTGACAAGGCAAGCATGTGGTCAAGAAAAAAGCGGCAAATGCATAACTTGTTCACCGAATGGAGTCTCCCTATTAACTTTGCTGATGTTGTTGTTATTCAGGCTCCCAACTCTGCCAGATAAATTTGTTTGACAGGTACCAGGAAACAGGCAAAAATTCCGCCCCCCATTTGTTCTCCTGTGGAAAGGTGATCCCCTTAATAACAACTACTCTTCTTCACTCGTGAAGGAATATACCTGGAGGTAAGTGCAAATGAAATGATCTGAAAGGAACACTGACAGCTTCTCCATTGCAACTCTTGTACCTTTTCAGTGTTAAAGGAGCTACGGATTTGTTGGAGATGACATGGATGCTGGGACACTAGGCAATTTATCTTCTTACAGAATCATTTAATTTGGAATTTTGGAGTGACTAGTCGCTCCTTCCTTTACTTCTTCCAAGCTCCATGCTACATCACTGTCATCCATTACGATGGTTCCACGACAACCTCCCTTAGCCTCCGTCCAACCACGGCAGTTCCACACTCATGACCACGCCTTGCTGAGTCACTCACTTCACTAGTAGTCACTTTCCTGCATTGTTGCTCCCAGTTGTCCCACAATCCCTACCCTTAACGTCCTCCCACAGTGAACAGATGCCAGAGTGTAGGTGTCTGTTAAGTGGCAACAGGGGTGCAGGTTAATATAGCCCTCTAGGACAGACCCCACATCTACTCCCCCCTTGGTTCCATGCATTCACCACACTCCACCATTGGGCCACACCACTTCCACTACTCCTTCCAGTGATATGGCTATATGAATAGACGACAAGAGGCCTGGTCTCGACATTAATTTAGTGTCTGGTGCCTCTCGTTCCCTTCCCCAAATTGGTCACTTAAACATTCTATGTTCTCCCACACACCCCATCGGGATGGGTTATTTCCTCTCACAAAAAGAGTTAAGCGATGAATATGTATTGTATAATAGCAAGTGGGGTTCAAATTAATACAGATGTTTTAGAACAACCGAAAATTATCTTAAATTAAGGTAGGGAAGGGGAGTAAAAATAGAGCGAGAGCGTGAGGGAGAAAGAGAAAGAGAGGAGATTGTAGTCGCAAGGTTGAATGAGTTTGAGAGAGGTAGGGGGAGAAGGAGTTTAAAAGAAGGGAGGGAGGAGGGGAAGACGAGTGAAGCATTACGAATCTAATCCATGATCATGCGCTGCTTGCCCATATTGATACCAGCCTGACTAGCACCCTTGTTCGAGCCATACTGCAGACTCACCACATTTTGACCCTCTCGCAGCTGTTGCTCCGTGAATTCACGCTTATTCTCCGTGGCCAGTTTTGGACCCAGCACAGGACCACTGTACTCTGGGTGAGTTTGGCACTACCAACAATGTAAAAACAAAAATAGTAGAACATATTTCATCCCTAACGTCTTGGTTTGCTTAACATTAAGTCTGATTTGAGGAATCTTTCTGCTGCTAAATTGCATCGACTAGATCATCGGTACTCGACGTTTCCAACAAATTCGACACTTCAGGCCATCTTCACCCTGGCAGAACTGCTAACTCTGGTATTTTTCCTCGTTTACAACCGGAGCGATGATTTGATTTAATAGCAGAGAGAAGGACAAAAATAAATCGTCTGTAAAGGTCAAGGGCGAGGTTCCAAATTGTACATTTTGTGTACCAGTTTATGAGCATCTCTTCCAAAAGGATACCCAGTTAGTCACATGGCAAACTTTTTCCACTAAGGTTTGTTTTTTTCTCGTAAATTTGCGCTTTCGCCTTGTGCTTAAGTCTCTGAAATCTCCTTTTCTACGAACGATTAAAAGACACATCGACATGGCAACAATAGTTCCCTTCTCCTCTTAAGAAATGATCGTCAAACAACAAAAAAGGCCAAATCTATTCTTTACGAGTCGTAACACAACTCACAGTAGTTTTGGCCAATTTCTCAGCAATTTCTGACTTTTTGCTACTTTCTCATCAAACATTAAGCATCTTGTCAAACCATCCTCTCCAAATAGCAGCGCAATAGCATCACTAAACCGCACAAATAAAAAATACAGCTTTACTATGAGATGTCAAAGCATTAGCCGTGCAGATTACTTGACCGCTTTGACCATGGGATTATTAAGGCGAACCAAAAACTGATACGCTACCTGTAGGACCACGGAAGGACAGTTTTATGTTTGCGTGTCCGAAGGATCTTTAAATATTTTGTGCAAAGAGAGAGAGATAAGAGAGAACATACCGTGCGTCCAAGAGCGAAAAGAGTTCGTGTGACCTGGGCAATGTCTTTCTTCTCGAAGAGATCGACAGTCTGGAAGAGATCAGCCACTGGGACACCGTAGCCCTTCATCGCCTCCAGGAAGGCGCTAATGTTCTCCATAATCTTAAAGGGCATCGTGGCGTTCTCATTGATCTTCTTGATGCAGCCCGGTTTGATACTGTTCATGAGCCTACGAGCAAAAAGCAGTTAGCTCAAGTAGTGACTCCTTTCCTAGCTTTTAAATCAGGCAGTTTTCAACTAAGTCAACATTTCGGACTCTAAGTTGCAAAAATGACGGCCAAATCTAAAGTTATACCCTCAAAATAGTGAAATAAGTGAACACTTAAGTGGCAAGCACTAGTTAACCAGTGATACTTTGACGATGCCTGAGTTAACAATCAGATAGGTTTGCTGTTAAAAGATGGAATATTAATTCCTTCCAAGGGAAAATCGTACTACTAAGGGATTTCAGCAGTTCGTTTCTTTTGTTTTAATTGGCTTCCGAACATCAAAATTTAGCACAAAAAACGGAAGTAACTTGCGTTAAAAACAAACCATTTTTGCCAATCATTCATCTGGAATCATGTTATTTCGCAAGAAAGTGATTTTCCCCAATGCAAACATTTTCTTCAATTTATGTTCCTGTTCCAAAATCCTCAAGAGAATTTGCAGGGGCATTATTTCTAGGTTGCTTGATATTTGCATTCAACGGATTTCTTAGATAATTGGATTATTGGGGTATAAAAAGTGAATAATTCATTATTTATTCAAAACTGGGTTGCTAAAGCAAATTCATTAATTTGCTTTAAGTTTTTTTCCCAACAAAAGTCATTTTAACGCGTGATATTTGTTTTTTCTTAAGGTAATCCGCTCCGCCTGTTTTCCTAAAAATATCTACCAGACGAACAAATAGAGGCGAAAATGATCACATTTCAACGCCTCATGGACAGTAAGAAAGGGAATTTGTAATGAGGTGATCTGAGGAACGACTTACTTGCACAAAACGGTGCCATCCTTCAGTATGTCTTCATAAAGCTTAGAACGGTCCAACTTGAGTCCAGTAAGAGCTTCAATCCATTCAAGGGCCTCGTTCTCTTGATCTTTGTCACGTTTGCCTTCAAGCTAATAAAAAATAGAAATTTGTGTGGACACAAATGCAACATCACTTGCGACAGGTGATAGGATACCTACCTTCTTTTTAACTTGATAGCTAAGACCGCTGGGAGGTGGAACGTTCGACATAGCTTTGCTACGTGCAAGTGAAGGAAGATGGCCCAAGCTGAAAGCGTCAAATGAAATGGGAACTTGTATGTTGGACTGTGTTTGTCCAATCACAAGCGGGGTGTTTTACCGCTGGCCAATAGGCGGGGAGGTGGCGGGCATTGATTAGACTGCAAAATTGTTGGAAATTCGTAGCACAATCACTGATGGCCCACCTTTTGCGGAATAAGTGTGGGTGTATGTGTAGATTTGTGCGCGAATGCGTGCGTGGGCAACTGGCTGGGTGGGTGAAGCTGGTATATAATTTTGCCTGAATTCTTTCCTGCGATAGGGAAACAAAATGCAAGTGACGACCACTAATGGGATCTTTCTGGTTGTGCAGAAAAGCCCACTTTGCTGCCCCCGTTCTACGCAAATTTTGAAGTTTTAATGAGATTTACACAAAGTAGGTGACATTCTTCCCTACTTCTCAACTTTAAGATCGTTTTCGGATGTCTAAACGTATCGGTGTGAATTTGAGTCCCTGAGAGGTAATATCCCATCTAGGTGGGCGTGTGCGAAATAATAGAATGTTTAAGTGACCAAGTTAGGAACGGGATCGGAAACACCAGACATGAAATTAATGTGTCAAAACCGGGCCCCTTGTCATCTAGCAATATGACCATATCATTGAAAGGAGTAGTGGAAGTGATGTGGCACGGAGGTCAAAGAATGTCGAATGGAATCGAGTAAGGAGCAGATATGAAGTCTGCCTTGAGGTCTCTACTAACCTGTGCCTCTGTTGCCACTTGAAGGACATTAACACTCTGGCATCTGCTGTGATAGGGCACAACGCAGGACTTAC